AACCATTTAAATATTGTTTTGTTATGTTCGCTGTACGTAGGAAATGCTTCCAATGACACAGCAGACAGTACTAACGATGATGATGATGTTGTTGTGAAACAAGGTATCTAATATAGAGTGGTTTTCATAAAYCCATGGAACAAAGYGTAATAATTAGAGTGTAATAGATCGTAATAGTCGCGTAGAGACAATAAAGAACAAAAGAGTCAAAGTGTATTAGCGATAAATACGCTAAAGTTTGTTTCACGGGTTAATGAAAACCACTCTAATGAGCAGAACAAAGTTTATTTAATATTTAATATGTCCAATATTTTTTTTAACGTTGAAGTTTTGATTAAAATTGCACGTGAAAATGCACTTATGATGGTTGATCTTGTTTCTGACTGGAACAATAAACATTCCCGAAATATTTTTAAGTGGCCACGCTTTTGCAATTTGCACTGTCAGTTCTCTCGTGTTTTTAAACTATATACAAATAACTTAAATATTGTTTTGTTATGTTTACAGTAGGCAACTCAAGCACTGCCGATGTTGGGCAACAAGGTATACTATAATGATAAAAGAAATAGCTGTATATAAATATTCAATATGTATTATGCTCAATATATAATTATATGACTGCATAGATCTTATATTTTCATAAAATAATGAACCATTTAAATATCGTTTTGTTATGTTTGCTGTAGGCAACTCGAGCATTGCTGATGTTGGGAAACAAGGTATACTATACACCCTTTTAATAAGTCCCGAGGTATTGTGTCTTCTCTGCACTTGATGTCAAATTTATTCTTTTGAAATTTTTACAATACAAAAGGAATTCAAAAGAGTAAATTTGACGTCAAGTGCGGAGAACACAATACCTCGGGACTTACGTATTAAAAGGGTGTATAATAATAAAAGAAATAGCTGTATGTAAATATTCAATATGTATCATGCTCAATATATATTTAAATGACTGCATAGATCTTATATTTTCCTAAAATAATRAACCATTTAAATATTGTTTTGTTATGTTCGCTGTACGTAGGAAATGCTTCCAATGACACAGCAGAC